GAACCAAGAGTGAGATTCTGGCAGTTGGCTGGGACAGGTGTTCTGTTTTCTACGTCCTAGTACTACTGGTAATACTACGCCTTTTCGTGTAGGTTCGCCAAGGGTCGGCACCCGGTGGCCTCGGTTGAGGACCACCTGTGTCATAGCGGGACTTGGGTTAAGTCGCCCACTACAACACACACCCCAAGCCATGTCCCGCAGGACATACTTGGGCCTCGCTAATTCTTCGCCTTCGCTCGCTTCATCGCCTTGCGCAATGCATCGCCTTCGCTCGCTGTCTTCACGCCTTCAACGTAGTTCTTCACCACGGCTGGGCATTCATGCATGAGCTTCTGCAGCGGTTCCCATGAGGACTCGATATTTTCAAAACCTTCCCAAAGCACTTCCAGGATGAAGTCTTTCACATCCGGGACAAACTTGTGTCCCGCGATGGACTTGACCTTCAGCATGATCCCTTGCTCGGAGACGTGTTCGAGGATTTCTTCAGTCACTTCAAAGCTGTCTTCGGCGTAGAGCTTGACTCTTGATACGTGTGCTTCCCACAGTTCGTGGGTCACCAAGTGCTCCAAAACGACGGAGAATTCGCTCACTTCCTTGACTCGGTAGGGGCCCGTCCAGGTTATGAGCAGCTTGTCCAAGTTTTTTGGGATGTCCTTGACCGTCCAGTCGCTCTCTCGGAGTTCCTTATTCATGCCCACCACGACGACATCTAGGGGAGTCGCCGGGTTCAAAGCCGTGAACAGCTCCATCGGCGACTTGCTCACCAGTGATGCTGCCGGTGTTTTGTTGAGGTTGGCTTGGACCACCGGCAATAGGCAGTCCCATTCTTGTTCGGCTAGCTGGTACTCTCGGAGCATGACCCGCATCACTTGAAGGATGTCGCGGTTCATTCGCTCAACCGTTACATTGCGCCAGGGGCAGTAGGCCAAGGTTAGGTCATGATGGACCTTGAACTTGTGGGCTAACGCCTTTATGGCCACGTTTTTGAAATGGGTTCCTTGGTCGCTGACCCAGACTCGTGGCATTCCGAACCACTTCGTCCAGTCCACCAGGGCATCCACACATACTTGGCTCGTGGGTCCATCGCATGCAATGAGTTCGCAGTAGTGGGTAAGGTCGTCTTTGAGTACCAGCACATACTTAGCGCTGCTGAACGCTTCGCCCATGTAGAGGTAGTCGAAGTGGATTCCTTCGTTGCGCTCTTTCGCGTGCCATCTCGGAGCATACGGTCGATGGACCACCCTTCCCCCCTTTTACACGAGGACAAAACAAGCAGCCACGGAGGAAATCACTGGCCCTGTCGGCCAAGTGGTTGACATAGAACATGCGGCGGATAGTAGCCACCAGCACTGCATGTCCACGGTGCCCGGCGATGCCGCAGTGGGCAAGGACCATGATCCGTTGGATCAGGTCATTCGCCGCACTCGGTATCCATAGCCGCTTGTCCACTTGCCACAGTCCGTCCACCATGGTAGCTTGCTTGCTTTGGTTTGGTTTCGCCATGCTGGTCTTGTGCGTGACGGATGTCCAACACACATGGCCACACAAAGTCCTTGTCCAGCGCTCGCAGTTTTGGTTGTGTCGGTGGAGGGACTTTGCGCGCTTTGACTTTCTTTGACCAGCCATGGCCCCGACATATTTTGACCCGCTTGGTCGCCAGACTTGGTGTCGGCTGACCCCAACGGCTCATCATATCCGCCCAAAGGTTGTGCATGCCGTCGATGTGTATGATTTCATAACGATAGCCGCCAATAATGGCAGCCCATCGCATGAGTTTACCGCGTGTGTGCGCCTTCCATTCTTCGCCCGGAGCAAAGACATGGATCAAATTCTTGTGGTCACAGTACATCTTCAACCCCTAAGGTCGCATAAGTATGTAATTGAGCTTCTCGCACGCACGCGCAATAGGGTAGGCCTCCTTTTCGATGACTGACCACGCCTTCTGGGCGCCCGCAAACATCCCCGACTGACATAAGAGCAGTTCGTGACGTTGTTCTTGGACTGGGCTGTCATCATCGAATGCCACCACTTGTGTTACCACAATCGACCATCCATGATCGCTCGCATCCGTAAACAGACACATCATGGCGTCATCACGCCGGTGAGACAGTTCCACCGATGATCGGAGCTTGGATTTTACGGCGTCAAACGCTAGCTTCTCGCCGTCGGTCAGTTCCAACTGAACACCAGACGCGATCCGCTTCTTCTTGCCCTTGCCTTCGAGGGCCTTCGTAAGACACTGCTGCAGTGGGTCGACGGTCTGTGCGTACTCTGCCATCGAGTCCCGCAGCCAGTTCACGGCGCACACAAACTGCTGCAATTCTCCCGTAGTCGTAGGGTAGGGAATCGCACACAGATGTTCTATGCGTTCAGGGTCTTGCTTGACGCCATCACCACTGATGATGCGTCCACACCACTTTACTTGATCCGTGAACAGCTTGGTCTTGGCCGGACTCAGCTTGAACCCGTACTGGGCCACTCGATCGAAGAACGACTCGAGGGCATCCACATACTCTTCCACTGTGTCGGCGTACACAAAGATGTCGTCGATCCAGATCAGCATGTTCTTGTAGAGCAGGTCTTTGTAGCACTCCTCGTTCGTTGATTGCACGTAGAGGGCACTGTCCACATGGCCTTGCATCACTCGATGCGGGGTGTACACACATCCGTTCAGCATGAACGACAACATGTCCCAGCTGTCCGGGTGTAATGGGAACTGCCAAAAGCACTTGGGTAGGCCAAACACGCCCATCGCTTTCTTGCCCCGTAGATTTTGGAGGATGGAAGCCTGGAACGGCATCGTCCCTGCCTTCGTCTCGGTTAGCGAGTTGACAACTCTGTAGTCGTTGGTTAACCGATAGTTCTTGAGCACGTCATCGTCGCTCCATTTGTCGGTCGACTTCGATGACTTGCGCCCATCTGGTTTAAGGACTGGGCTCACCGGGCTGCACCATACACTTTGCTGGTTGCTCTTGATCACGCCCGCATCGAGTAGTTCTTGTGCAAACAACTTGAGGAACCTCTTCTTCAGGAGGTTGTGCTTCCTTCCTTTGCATCGGTAAGGAACACACCCATCCTTCGGGGTCACCTTCAACGGTTCACCTTCGCCGGTGGGTCTGACCTGTTGAACTTGATTCGCCAGATGTTATGCTTGCTGAGCACATCCCACAAATACTTAACACGTTCCATTGGAAATCCGTTATCGACTGCGCTGTTGATCCCTTGTAGGGCTTCCTCGATTTCATTCTTGGCTACAGGTAGCGCCGCCTTCATGGTCACGGCTCTGACGGCCGATCGTTGGGGAAATTCCACGCAATCGCGACCAACTTCTTCCAGGTCATCGCCGTCCTCATCCACTTGCAGGCGCGCTACCTGTTCCAGCAGGCGGTCGATGTCGATACGAATGGTCTTGAGGGTGTAGTCCGAGACGAGGAATTCATCTCCGTCGTTGACCACATAGCAGCGGCGCTTGCCTGGCACCTTGACTGGTCCAGCGGCCGTCTGCATTGTTAGCGTAAGGTCCACATAGGAGCAACGCCCGCGTCTACGGAAACCCTACGGCATGGTGGAACGGATCCATTTCGTTGTCGTTTCTGGAGTTCCACTTTTCCGAGCGCCCAGATCGTGAAACGAAGCCAGTTCTGTTGCTGTGAAACGACGTTTCAGCGCATTGAACTGAAGAAGTTGTGGCGTACGCGACATCCATCAACGTCGTGTTGGCAAGGATCCCACCAACGCTTACGTGGATTTGCCAGCCGGCGGATGTTGCGTGGAATCCTCCGTTGAAGTCCTGCCTCCGCGACAAGTGGATTGATCTTTTGCGGTAACAAATTAGGCGCTCGAAGACAAATAAAGACACAGTTCAAAGTCCAGGCCCCATCGCGAGCTACAGTGATCTCGTGGATTACGTCTGTTTGGACTGATCTACCTGAATCTACATTTGTTAATGGCTTCAAGGCGTGCAATTTCCTTGATGGTCAAACAAACCATTGATGACGGTGGGTATGTCGATGACGAAGTATTAGCGGATTTGATGGAAAATTTAGCTGTCGAAGCTGTGATCAACCCAACTAGTGTCACAGATAATTGTGATGGGATCAATGAATCTGAACTTTTCTAATTGGTTATCAGTAGTGAGCAAGGTATTTTATACCCTGTATGAATGTATGCTCGTGTACAAATTATATTTGTCTTGTAAAATGGTGTCTTGCATGTATATGTAGTATTGTATGTCTAACTCGAAAAACAAAAACAAAGTCCCATCCATCCATGTATCCGTATTCGGATATTGATACAGCTACTGTCTTACTCAAGAGTTTAACCTTGAAATATAAACTATATAAACTGGTTTTTGTATATAAACTGTTAAACCTAATAACCACTTTTTAAGAAAGTGGATTTTACAACTATGGCGGCGACGGCGGCATGAGCAGGGTAAACGAATTAGTGAGCACCACGTAGATTGTTTTGTCAGAGTCCACGTCACAGTTGGCTCATGGTATGAGAATACGCATGCTGTGATAATCGATAAGCTCAAGGTTGTGCCTTATTTTTTTAGTCTTATTTTTTTAGTCATGAGCGAGAAATTTGCGGCGTCGAACTGTGGCATGCACATCTACATGATAGATTTCTACTGTAACGTTTGA